TTTTTTTTTTTTTTTTTTGATGATACTCGTGATATGCTTTGTGTTCTCCAATTGCGGCTGGCCTTTCTGTGCTAGCCGTCTGGTGAAGTGTTCCAGCATCATCAGTCTTTGAGAAGTGAAATAAAGTCAATAATCATGATTTACCCATAATAACATAATAATTACTAATAAAAGTCAAGAGATTAATGAAATTTATTAATGGTATATTAATTGATGACAAATTCATAAAATACAATTTTAATGACAATTAGATTGTTTTTGGCAATTAATTTACTAATTGTCATCCAATAATTTCTTTCTAATATTTGTAATAATGAGCCAGTTTATTATTATTATTATACCTAATTACCTAATCCACGTTAAAAAAAAAGTTAATTTAAGTGATAACAATGAATTTGTCTTATTTTTTAGAATTATACTTATATTACTTTTCTTTTCTAACGAGTATTCATATTTTCTAATTAATTAGGGTGTACGTTTTATACAGTTCTTTTTTTTTTCTAATTGATATTCATTTTTTTTAAATTAATTAGAATGTACTTTTCAAAAAGTTTATAATTAATATATTTTATCGAATTAAGTCAACATAATTTAATTAGGAATATTTTAATCTAAAAGTAATATGACATAAATTGAGTCTTACACAAAAAAATAAGTAATTATTTTAAGTTGGATTTTATAAAAAAAAATATATTATTTTATTATTATTATTATTATTACTATAGAAATATAATATTGGTACGATAAGTGACTAACCTCTTCGGAGATGATAAAAATGCTTAAAATGAATTTTTTATAATATAATTTATTCTATAATTAAAGTCATGATTTAAACATTAACAACTTGTTTAAGAGGCATAAGTGGTACCATGTGTGTCATTTAAATATTGTAATGTTTATATATATATAATATATATATATATATATTCCTGAAGTAAGGTCATCGAGGTTAAAAGAGTTGTGGCATTTCCATTTTTAACTTGTCTTAAGCTTGTCTACAAACAATGATTTTTTTTCCTCCCCCTTTTGCTCCCTCAAATCTAATGGAATTGGATGGGCTTGGGAAGGCCTTACAACTCATCTTTTAGAAAGGAGAAGTATTTTGTGGAGTTCTTTATAGTTTTAAATTAAATTATTTTAAAACAAATATTTCACTGAAAGCCAAAAGATATATTTTTACATGGTGTTTATATTATATATTATATTTCATTATAAAATTATTTTTGACATCAAAATTATAAACTTAACTTAGTAAACTTAACCTTACTTTTTTAATTAAAATTAACTTTATGAAATTAACATCATCTTAAAAAAAAAAAAAAAAACTGTCGATCTTGTCCTGTCTCACTCTTGAAGAATGTACAGATTCATTTTACCTGCGACAGGGACGTGTGAGTCACAAGGCAATTGAGGGATATTTGCCTTAGGCTTCCATATTATTTAAGATCGCAAAAATTTATTTATATTTTTAATAAATTATTCATTATTAATTTAAATTATTAGGTAATTATTTTATCATGATATAATATATCATTTATTACTATTTTTATTATTAAAATTTATAATCATAAGATATGAATATAAACATTTTTGTAAATTATTTAAGTGAAATCTTATTATTTATTAAAAAATAAGAAAAATATTTTACATCTATTTTAAATTCTACCTCTTTCCACCCTAAAAAAAACTGTTGAAATTAGTAGAGTATAAATTTATTGAATAAATTTTTTATTATTATACAAAAAAGATTTTTTTGTGAAAAATTTTAATAATAAAATCATACCCATAACCAAAAAAAAAATGTATTAAATTAAAATTTGAATATAAATTTTTTCTTAGGCCTCATAATTTCTAGGCAGGCTCCTAACTTACAACACATTTGCTTTGTAATTTGAATTTAATTTTAATGTATTATTTAAATAATTATTTAATCATAAATTATTATGTAAAATAAATTTGATAATCTATAATAATATATAAAGAAACGATTTTTAAATTTTTTTAGATATTTATATCTATCTATTATATTTTAACATTTTCCACTAATGTATTTCTCAAAATAAAATACGAAAAAAATTATGTATAAAAAATTTAATTGTTCATTCTATTAACATTAATTATTTAATTATTTTTAAAGTATAAACTACATGCATCTTTTATTAAATATAATTTGATTCGAGCTAAACCATTCACTTGTTTTGTTTTTTTTTATCGAAGACAAAGTGTGTTTTCCATGCTATTTTAATAATAACAATGTCAAAAGTTATATTTAATATATGATCTTGATTAATTGACATTGTAAGAAATTAATAATGTATAAAATTTAAATTCATATATTAAAATACGTTCTAAGTATCGATTCTATTATCTTCGAATAATAGTTTAGAATAAAGTCCCAACAGGTATTAGCATTTTCAGAAGGACTATTTTATATATATATATATATATATATATATATTATTCTTATATTATGAGCTAGATTTTGAGTTTGAGAGTACAAATATAAATTCTAAGAAAGTTGACTTACAAGAAGAATGGTTCATGTTAATGGTTTTGCTACTTAGGAGGCTAGATAAGATTTAATAATATATTTAGCTAAATAATTCAATATTGAAAAATTATGTATAAAAAATTTAATTGTTCATTCTATTAACATTAATTATTTAATTATTTTTAAAGTATAAACTACATGCATCTTTTATTAAATATAATTTGATTCGAGCTAAACCATTCACTTGTTTTGTTTTTTTTTATCGAAGACAAAGTGTGTTTTCCATGCTATTTTAATAATAACAATGTCAAAAGTTATATTTAATATATGATCTTGATTAATTGACATTGTAAGAAATTAATAATGTATAAAATTTAAATTCATATATTAAAATACGTTCTAAGTATCGATTCTATTATCTTCGAATAATAGTTTAGAATAAAGTCCCAACAGGTATTAGCATTTTCAGAAGGACTATTTTATATATATATATATATATATATATATATTATTCTTATATAATTTTTTTTACATATATTTTTATTCTTCTTTCTATTATTTATTATTTTCTGTGTACCAAAAACAAATTTGTTATTTTCTTTTCTATTTTTTTGCCACTTCAAATTCATTCCACATTTGCACTCTGTTTAATAAGACTATATTGCAATAAAAATGAGAAGAGAAGAAAGAGTTAAGGATGATTCTACAAATCATGCTGGTTTGATAGGAAAGATAGGGGGGGAAGAATGTAAAAAGTGATTTATTTTTTACTAGTTCTTACAAAAAAATTCAAGGAAAGTTGCATCTCATTGTATGTTGACAACAAAAAACCCTATAACTTGTACATGATAACTGGTTAAAATTATAATTTAATCAACTGAATTTTACAATTAATGGTTAAAGCTTAAGACAATCTATTCACACACAGAGACTTATTTATCATTTAAATCGATTAAAAGTTTTGAAACATATAATCATGTATTTTTTATTCATGAATTTTCATTTTAATTAGTTGAAAGTAGAAATTAATTGATTAAATTATTTTGACATATATGTTTTTCATTTTAATCAATTGAATTTATTAAGTAATCAATTGAATCGTATGTTTATATGAATTTTAATCTATTAAAACTAAAAATAATGAATTATTTCACTCCTCTTAAAACATTTTAAAATACGTCAGGCTCTATTGAATTGTTTTAAGAGCAAAAATAAAATATATTTACTCACTCTATCACTCTCTCTCTCTTTTTCATTCTCAACGTAACCAAAGGAATTTGTAACATTATTTCTCTCTCTCTTTATTATTATTATCTTTTTATAAATTTTTTTTCCCACTCTATTGTTAAATTATTCTTTCCAATAATAGAACGTAGTATCTTGTCGTTTTAGTAACGGTGGAAAGGTATGCCAGGCTGTCATCCCCTACGCAAGGCCACTATTAGATTCGCGTGTCAAAAGCATAGTTTTAAAAACCGGACTGGTCATCGAACCGGTTAAGGTATTGGGTCAGTGGGTTAAAGATTGAACCGGTGAGTCACTAGTTGAACCGCATGACTCGATTTTTATTAAAAAATATTTATATTAAATATATTTTATACTTATAAATTTTAATAAATTCATATCTTATTTTAAATTTCAATTTTTCTATCTTATTTAAAATTATTTTTATTTTTATTTTGTAAAAAAATACATAAAAAAATTACATGTTAAACAGTATATTAATACAAATTAAAAATATAAATAATATGTACATATATAATATGCTTGCAATTAATATCACAAAATAATATATGTAATATTTACATAGATATTACATTATTAAATATATAATTTAAAATTAATAATATACTATAAAAGTTATTTAAGTTGTATATATTGCAAACAAATATATTAGAACAAGTAGTCATTGTTATATTTAATAAGACTCCTTGATTTTTCATTAAGAGATTCAATTTTCATTATTATTTTCGTGATTTATGGTCCCTTAAAAAAATTTTAAAAAAAATAAGAAAAAAAAGTGGTTGAACCGGTTTGACCCACTGATTCACCGGTTGAACCGGAAAATTGACCGGTTCAATCCGATTTGAAACGGGTCGACTGCATAACCGATCCAACTTCAGATTCGAACCGGCTGGATCACCAATTCCCGGTCCAACCGGTCCGACTGGCTGGGTCGGTCCGGGTTTTAAAACACTGGTGAAAAGTAAACGAATATAAATTATAAAATGAGAAAGCACCATCTATCCAATGTCATAATGCATCATCTTACACCAAAAACCATCCAATTCCAAATAACATAAAATCTCTACAAAATAACAAATACCCACAATATTTGGATAAGATCAACCCATTAATAATAATAATATTATTATAATAATGATATTCTTTTAGTATTAAGATAACTAACCCAATCTTTCATGTGACAGTGACAAACTCTTTAGACATTAAAACGCAATTACGAAATGTTGCTCAGATTCATTTGTTAAAATTTGTGATACTAGTAGCATTTTCACAATTGGAAAATTGAACTTATGGTGGAAATACTAATAAAATAATGAAGCACGTTCCACATCGATCCGGTTTGAGGCAATTTCGCGGTCCCCCAATACGCTATTGGAACTTGGAAACCATTTTTCCTTTCCGAAAACGAGCGCAACGACAACGCTCTCTTTCTCTCTCTCTCTCTCTCTGTCTAAACCGAAAACTCTTGCTCTGTTTTCTTCTGGCTTCGCTATGAGCTCAGACGCGAGTAGAGAACGAGGTGCACCAACCGTGGTACGTTTTTACCTTCTTATCCATCGCCACCTCTTTTTTTTTTTTTTTTTTTTTTTTTTTTTTTTTTATACACAATTCAAACCCTAACTTAACCGCAAAGTAGGTTGTAATCGTTTTGTAATACCTCCGGAGCTTTCTGCGATTGTTTTTCGTCTTTTCAGATTTGATTTCCGTAGCATCGATCCAATCCTATCCAATGAATGCCTGATACATTAGTTATTGAATAGTCAACATTTTTTTTTTGTCGAATTTTACCGTAATAAGAGAATGTGCGAAGAGAAAATGAGATCCGCTGTTTCAAACTCGATCGTCAATGTAAACGCGGATCATTGACCTGGAAACGAGATTGGGTTTTGCTGTGTTATTTGGAAACTTATAAGGCACGGAGGCGATCACAGAGAGCATATGATATATTTTGCATCAGAAACTAGGAAAGAAATGCGAGTTATTGTGTGGACAGTGTGGTGGATATATGCTTATGTTGGTAGAAGCTTAGAAAATTAAGCTGAGAGGAGTGCTAGCGTGTAGCGACATATTCTCCTACACTCATTCTTTCACACTCTCTTGTATTAGTTAAAATTTATTAAAAAAAATTACAAAAAACCATGAGTGTGGTTCATTAGATAAGGAGTGAGATCCACTTAATTTTGTGATTTCCAATAAAACTATTTACAGAGATTGTATTTGAAAAAGTGTGTTAGAGATGGCATTTCTCTTGAGCTGAAACTTTTCCTGAACATAAACCTCAGGCTTTTTATACCTTAATGCATGCGGTCTTATGCAACTCTAGTCTTTTGTCGAATGGAAAATGTGCAATTTATAGGAGCTGTATGCCTGTGCAGAAGAAAAGGAAATAGGAAAACAGAAAGCATTGAGTATCTATATGATCTATTTTTTTGTTCTTGGCTTTCTCTTTTAACCCGAAGTTGGTTTTCTTGAACTTAAAGACCTTATGTACATGTATAATATCTGAATTTTCTCTGTTAACAGGTGGAACTGAAATCTCAATATAAACCACTTTTGTTTTTGGCATACCAGAGTTTAGGCTTTCTTTTTGGTGACTTGAGCTTATCCCCTCTTTATGTATATCAAAGTATATTTTCTGGAAGGCTGAAACAGGTCCAAAATGAGGATGCAATATTTGGCGCATTTTCTTTGATCTTTTGGACTCTTTCAATTATTTCTTTGTTGAAGTATGCCGTTATCATGTTAAGTGCAGATGATAATGGTGAAGGTAAGCATATTTTTCTTTATTATTATTTCAAATTAGGTCTTTTTTTTTTACCCCTTACTATAAGTATTGAGTGTGGTAACGCTAATACATTCACTTTTGCAGGGGGAATTGTTGCTTTGTATTCACACTTGTGTAGAAATGCAAAATTTTGTTTGCTTCCTAATCATCAAGCTTCTGATGAGGAGCTTTCTACATATTATAAACCTGGTTCCTCAAATAGAAATATACCACCCTCGCCTTTGAAAAGATTCATTGAGAAACACAAGAATACAAAAATTGCGTTGCTTATTTTTGTTTTGTTGGGTGCTTGCATGTTAATTTGTGTTGGCGCACTCATGCCTGCCATTTCAGGTAAGGGGACATTTTTATCCTCCCAAATGTTAGTTTGTCTGGTTGGACAGCTTATCTGATTGATGTTTTACCATGTACTTTTGTTTACCATTATATTAGCTCTATTTGTATTTCTGCTGATAAGAATTCTATCTTGCAGTTCTCTCATGTGTTCAAGGGCTGAAAATTGAAGCAAAGATTACAAACAATAGTAAGTGGAAAAAATGCTAATCTTACACGAAACAGTATCTAATACTCAAAACTTAAATAATCTAAATGAATTAAATTAATGAACTAATAAATTAATACAGACTATAGAAAAGAAGGTAACTTGGACTGTAAGATAAAATCATGGAATGTAACTCCAGAAAATGTGATTGTCAATTAAAATGGCTGAGTTAGGTCCTTAACCTAGATAACTGCCTCTTATACCCTAAACTCATTATATGGTGCATGGGTTAATTAAAAAAAAATTGTCTCTTTATTAGGTTCTGCATTGTGACTTGGTCCTATATTTCTTCCTTGAAAAATAATGTGCAATTTTGCTATCAAAACTTACATGTATGTCATTTCTCAGGTACAGTGTCTCTTATTTCTTGCGTTTTACTGATTGGACTCTTTGTTCTACAACACCGTGGCTCCCACAAGGTTGCATTCATGTTTCCTCCTATAATCATCGTATGGTTGTTGTCTATTTTCATGATTGGCATTTACAATGTCATCAAGTGGAATCCAAGAGTATATCAGGCTCTTTCTCCATATTATATGTACAAGTTCTTTAGGCTTACAGGAAAAAATGGTTGGACTAATCTTGGAGGAGTATTTCTGTGTGTTACAGGTCTGCATCTCTTTTAAAATTCAAGTTCTGCCTAAGCCTTATTCTTGCCAAATTCATTCAGTTTTTCTTGTCATTTCCAGGAACTGAAGCTATGTTTGCAGACCTAGGGTACTATAGGCAAGCACCTGTAAGGGTATGTGTGGCCAATAAGTATGAAGTTGACTTTCTACTTCATGATTAACTGACAATGTTCTGTTCATGATTGACCCTTCAAATAGATACCCCAGAATGATTAGTGTTATTTTACCGCAGGTTTATGTAAGGGTGGTGATAATTTCCTTTAGTCAGTATGTGTACCTAGTTGTAATATACTTTTCAGACTTTGACATATTAGATGTGCCCTATGATGCTCCGATACGATACGCGTATCGGATACGACACGTATCTGATACGGCGATACGATTATTTAAAAATATATAGGATACGATACTTGTAAGATACGTGTTCATCAAGGACCAATAATTCTATGTTTCTATATTAAACATGTTTATATATCTTATTTAGTTGTAATGGATATTTCATAATTTTTCAAAAATTTGAACACTTTATTGATACGTATCACTGATAAGTATCGGTGAAGTATCTATAAGTATCAAAATTGAATAAAAATTTTATAATATTTTTAAAGGTTAGGATACTTCATTGACACGTATCGGTGAAGTATCCAAGAGTATCGTGTCGGATACGGATACGTGAAGCAAATTGAAGTATCCGTACTTCATAGGATGTGCCTATTATGAGAGACAGTTGATGATATTATGCTATGCAAGAACCTATGAAAGAACTGACCATCAGATGGAAAGTCAAACCTTTGTTTCAGTATACATAATAATGTGCATGCATAACAAGTGAAGGAGTAAAGGGTTTGTAAGACTGTAGGTCAATGACATTTAGAAAGTGATTCTTGATTTGTTATCAAGAATTCTCTAGCCAAATTGGAATATGTGAAATCAAACTTTGAATTGATTTACCTCTTTAGTAATGTATGACATGTAATTTACCTCTATCCATGATGCTTGGCATAATAAATTGAGGCCTTAATAGTGATTCCTCATTTTAAACAATATGTCACAATTTTTAGATAGATTTTGCTTTTGAAAATGATTATCGTAACTGTTATTATGGGATCCCTGTTACCATGCAGGTTGCATTTTATTGTGTCATTTACCCATGTCTAGTTCTTCAATATATGGGGCAGGCGGCTTTTCTTTCAAAGAATTTATCTGCAGTGCCTATAAGCTTTTATGCTTCTATACCAGGTCAGTTAATGTAAATGCTAAGAATAAAAGATGTCTGATAGGCCTTCTTGTAAAATTATAGGAAAACATTGAACGAAGTTATCTGCTTTCAGAAGATTGAAAAAAATTCAGGGAATGGTATTGTGTGAACCTTAGTGTGACTTGACCAATTTGATTGTTTCATATGCCTATGGATTTTCTAAGTAGCAGTATATTGAACTGGTGATAATTTGGGGTTCTTTGAATGATCAAATGTGTTCTATCCTAGTAATATATGAAATTTGAAGTATTATCTTTTTATTCTCTGTATTCCGAATTGGTCATTATAAACTCATGCCACCATCGACAAGTATTAGATACAAGTTCCGGCAATGCTCAGCCAATTTATGTAGGACAGGTTTGATAGATAACTTTGAGATTTTCTAATCTAGCAGAGATATTTTAGTGCTTGATAGGTAGGTACCAGAAAATGAAATGAAAACAGACTGATTTACTGTATCAATATTGGAAATACAAACCTGTATCAGTGGGATAACAGGACTGGGTTTTGAAAAATACAAGAAACGAAATACAGAAAACAGAAAAGGAATGATAGTCTGGGAAGATTCGAGTGTACCCAATTCTCTCCCAATCCTCAAGTTAATTCCAGCCCTCCTCCACCTCGTCTCACCCCATACAGATACTCACTCCTGCTAATGCATCCCATTACTACTGCCACACAGGCAGTTAGTTATTTCTCTCTCCCCTTTAAACCTGATTTAGTAAATTGCACCTCATATATAATTAGGTCATCCTTCCTCTTGGGTTTCCTCTCATAAACGGATAAACCTTTTAAGTTATTTTGGGCCTTGGCTTTGGGTTTGCATTATTGATGAATTCTATTTCGGATGGATGTATTACTGCATATTTTTCTTCATTGCATGTTTCTAAAGACCCAAACTTTTTCTGATATTATAGAAAGTTAAGTTGGTTTCCTTACGTATTCTATTTCCATTAATTATTATAATTTTATTATGATTTCCTGTTTTGAAAAAGTGATATCTATCATTTCTTGCTTAAGGTTCTATATTGTTGTAGTGATCTGTAGATTAGACTGTGACATAAATTTTGGAAAATTTAGTCAGTATAATCACTATTTTTTTTTATCTGAAACTCAACCTCTAACTAGAATGTAATTGATCTTAGAAATAGGTGCCACTTTATTGCAACGATCTAAGTAATGTCACTTCTATTATTTAGGGTGTAAGTTCCTGTTCCTCGTGAAGTTGTGATAAAAACTGGGGGAATTTCTCGTACTGTGAACAGAAAACATTGAACTTCTTGTACTGTATTATTTTTAATGTATGGCAATTGTTGGTGAACAAATTGGTAGACACAGTTCCTGCTCCTATATTTTAAATGCTCCTATTTTTTCAACGTATCAAAGATTCAAAATATTGCCAATGGGTTTAGCTTAACACTAGTTTATAAGTTTTGAGCAAAAGCCTAACCAATGGGTTAATTGTCGTTAAAGTTCCTTCCTTGTGGTCTTGTAGTCTTTAACGCTTTTCTCTCATAAAAGGAACCATTTATGCAATCCCCAGATCTGGTTTTCTTAACTTTTCATGCTGTTATGTGCTGTGTACTACATGCCTTCAGTGGAATACTATATCTTTTAGCATTTGGGCCACTGTATGCAAGAAACTTTAATAGTAAATGAAGCTAAACAGTTGAGCTGGTAATAATGTCTTGCCATATTTTTATTTTTTTGAGACTGCAGTACTTGTTTTTGAGTCTCTAATTTACTTCAGAATGTTTTTATCATTTTGTAGATTTTCTATTTTGGCCAGTATTTGTGGTGGCTGCTTTGGCAGTAATAGCTGCAAGTCAGGCTGTCATCTCTTCAACATTTTCAATTGTCCAACAATGTCATGCATTTGAATGTTTCCCTCGGGTTAAGGCAGTACATTCCAGAAGGTGGATCAATGGCCAGACATATATACCAGAGATAAACTGGGTTCTTATGATAATCAGCCTGGCTGTGACAGTTGGTCTAGGAGACATGAACCATACAGGATATGCTTATGGTAAGTTGACAAACTGCAATTGATAGATTGGAGTATTGTAATTTTGGTTTACATATGATACACAAAATACAGTGCAGTTTGCTGACCCAGAGTCATAGACTCCTACAGAGATGAGTTTTGTGTCCAAATTACCTGAAAATAGAACCCTCATATTCTAACATGACAGTTCTATTCAACATATTCTAATAATACATAACTGCCATTGCTAATGATTGTTATTATTACACACATCTCACTATGTAACTTCCTGCTAATAACTGTTATGACCGCCCAAAACTTAGTTCCCATCATAAGTTGTGTAAAAACAATGTTATTAGAAATATCTATTTAATAATAGTTCATGGGGCTCGTTATATTGGTTTTATGTGTTAGGTTATTTATTTCTTTATGATGTAAAATAAAATTAAGACAGAATTACTTTCTCTTCTATATTATTTGATATTGAAATATGATAGAGTTATTATTCACTGACAATGTAAAAAGTTTTACATTCTTAATGAACCATACCATGCCATCTATTTGAAAAATAATTTAGAACTTTACTGGAGTCTAGAAGTCAAAATTAGTTCAAGATCTTTCAATGATCTGGCAACACAATATTGAATGCTAGGGTAAAAGCTACACTAACAGTGAATCAAAATTAGACTTATTTTACATGATTGATTGTGTTATGGATGGTTCAGTGACTGGGAGAAAATATGCTGATGTCCTGGGTCATTATATCATTCACCACTGTTTTTCAGCATACGATTGCTAATAATATCATAATTGTGTTTACAGGGATTGCATATCTGATTGTGGTTTTTGTGACCACATGTTTGACATCACTAGTCATCAACCTTGTATGGCATCAAAGTCTCATTGTCGCCCTGGCATTTGCTTTATTCTTTGGTTCGATAGAGATTCTCTTCCTGTCATCGTATTGCATGAAAATTCCTAAAGGTGGCTGGATTCCACTCGTGCTTTCTGCTGTCTTCATGGTTGTTATGTATGTGTGGCACTATGGTTCTCGGAAAAAGTATGTATTTGACATGCATAACAAAGTTTCAATGAGGTCAATCCTTACATTAGGTCCTAGTCTTGGGATTGTTAGGGTTCCAGGAATGGGCCTTATCTACACTGAATTGGCTACTGGAGTCCCTGCCAGTTTTACTCATTTTTTGTCAAATCTACCAGCTTTCTACCAAGTGGTTGTTTTTGTTTGTGTTAAGACTGTACCTGTGCCTTGCGTGCCACATGTGGAACGTTACCTCATTGGCCGAATTGGTCCCAAATCTTACAGAATGTATCGGTGCATTGTTCGAAATGGGTATAAAGACGTGTATACCCATGATAATGATTTTGAAAATGACCTGGTGATGAGCATAGCAGAATTCATTCAATTAGAAGCAGAGGGTTGTTCTGGAACTGTGGATGGTTCAGTGGATGGCCGGATGGCAGTGGTTAGGACATCTGGGAAGTTTGGGACAAGATTGCGAATGTTGGAATCTGCTGGTTTTGAAGAAGGCAGCAGTGCTGGTCTTCCTGGAGCTTTGACTGTTACTAGCAGTAAATCCCCGACATTAAAGAAGCTGCAGGCCATGTATGAGCATGAATCACCCGAACTCAACACTAGACGACGAATTAAATTTGAATTGCTAAACATAATATATAAAGATCCACGTGTCAAGGAGGAGCTCATGGAACTTGTAGAAGCCAAGCGTGCTGGAGCAGCGTATGTAATCGGTCATTCTCACGTGAAGGCTAAGTGGAATTCATCGTTTGTAAAGAAGTTTGCTATCAACCTCTACTCTTTTCTCCGAAAAAACTGCCGGTCCCCTGCAGTAGGACTAAACATTCCTCAGATTTGTCTGATTAAGGTAGGAATGAATTACCATGTTTAGCTTGAGTCAGTGACAATATTTTGTCTGGGGATGTAATTTATGCAAAGCCCGAATAGAATGCCCCTTGGGCTTTCACGACTGGCAAGATTATGCTACTTTGGCAGATTCAACTTCAATGGATTTCACTCAAGAATCTCCTCTTGCCATGTTTGAAGAAAGAGGCGCATCTAATTGCCAAGATGTTTTGATTTTGTGATGGGCCTGGCAAGGTATGTAAATTACTAAATTGGTTGATAAAGAGTTTTTTTTTTTTGGGGGGGGGGGGGGGGGGGGCTCCTGCAACGTTA